ACTGTAGCGGCAGTGGAACCAACTACTCTAGTGGTAGTGGAAACAACTACTGTAGCGGCAGTGGAAGCAACATCAATAGGAGTAGAAGAAACAACTACAATATTGGTAGTGGACCCAACTACTGTAACAGCAGTGAAACCAACTACAAAAGTGGTAGTGGATCCAACTACAGTAGCGGAAGTCGAAAAAACTACTGTCGCGGCAGTGGAAACAACTGCAATAGGAACAAAGGGAACAACTACAGTGGTGACAGTAGAACCAACTACTGTAGGGGCAGTAGAACCAACTACAGTAGCGGCAGTGGAAACAACTACAATAGGAGCAGAGGAAGCAACTACAGTAGTTGAAATGGACGCTACAGTAGAACCGGAAACTACAGTAACAGAAATTGCACCAACTACAGTGGCGCCAGTGGAACCAGCTACAGTAGCGCCAGTAGAACCAACTACAATAGCGACAATGAAAGCAACTACAATGGGATCAGAGGAAACAACTTCAGTAGTGGCAGTGGAACCATCTACTGTAGCGGCAGTGGAAATAACTACAGTAGCGCCAGTAGAACCAACTACTGTAGCGGCAGCAGAACCAGCCACTGTACCGGCAGCGGGATCAACTGCAATAGGAGCGAAAGAAACAACAACAGTAGCGAAAATAGACCCAACTACTGTAGCGGCAGTGGAACCAACTACTCTAGTGGTAGTGGAAACACATACTGTAGCGGCAGTGGAAACAACTACAATAAGAACAGAGGAAACTACTATAGCAGCAGAAATGGACCAAACTACACTAGATGCAGTGGAATTAACTACAGTAGCGGCAGTGGAACCAACTACTTCAGTGGCAGTGGAACCCACTAGAGTAGCGGCAGTGGAAATAACTACAATAGTAGAAGACGAAACAACTACTGTAGTGGCAGTTGATCCAACTACTGTAGCGGCAGTGGAACCAACTACTGTAGCGGCAGTGGAATTAACTACAGTAACGGCAGTGGAACCAACTACTCTAGTGGTAGTGGAAACAACTACTGTAGCGGCAGTGGAAGCAACATCAATAGGAGTAGAAGAAACAACTACAGTAGTGGCAGTGGAACCAACTACTCTATTGATAGTAGAAACAACTACAGTAAGAGCAGAAGAAACAACTTTTGTAGTAGTTTTAGAACCAACTGATATAGCGACAGTGGAACCAATTACTGTAGCTGCAGTTGAAACAACTACTGTAGCGGCAGTGGAAACAACTACAATAAGAGCAGAGGAAACTACTATAGCAGCAGAAATGGACCAAACTACACTAGACGCAGTGAAATTAACTACAGTAGCGGCAGTGGAACCAACTACAGTAGTAGAAGACGAAACAACTACTGTAGTGGCAGTTGATCCAACTACTGTAGCGGCAGTGGAAGCAACTTCAATAGGAGTAGAAGAAACAACTACAGTAGTGGCAGTAGACCAAACTACTGTAACAGCAGTGGAACCAACTACAAAAGTGGTAGTGAATCCAACTACAGTAGCGGAAGTCGAAAAAACTACTGTCGTGGCAGTGGAAACAACTACAATAGGAACAAAGGGAACAACTAGAGTAGCGACAGTAGACTCAACTACTGCAGTGGCAGTGGAACCAACTACAGTAGCGGTAGTGGAAACAACTACAATAGGAGCAGAGGAAGCAACTACAGTAGCTGAAATGGACGCTACTGTAGCGGTAGTGGAATTAACTACATTAGCAGCAGTGGAACCAACTACTTTAGCGGCAGAAACAACTACAATAGTAGCAGAGGAAACAACTACCGTAGTAGTAGCAGTGGACCCAACTACTGTAGCTACAATGGAATCAACCACACTAGCGGAGGTGAAACCAACTACTGTAGCGGCATTCGAAACAACTACAGTAACGGCAGAGAAACCAACGACTGTAGCCTCAGTGGAAACAACTACAACAGTAGCACAGGAAGCAACTACAGTAGCGGAAATGAGCCCAACTACAGTAGTGGAATTGGAATTAACTACATTAGCGGCAGTGGGACCAACTACTTTAGCAGCAGTGGATACAACTACAATAGGAGCAGAGAAGACAACTACAGTAGTGGAATTGGACCCAACTACTATAGCGGAAGTGGAATCAACTACTGTAGTGGCAGTGGAAACAACTAAATTAGGAGAATATGAACCAACTACAGAAGCGAAAACGGACTCAGCGCCAGTGAAAATAACTACTGTAGAGGCAGTGGAACCAAATACAGTAGCGGTAGTTGAACCAACTACAGAAGAATATGAAGGTATAGAATTTCTATTAATTCAATAAAATCGATCAGGTTTTTAGAAAATTACTGACGACATGCTGCCTATCCATTTAATAATAATAATAATAATAATAATAATAATAATAATAATAATAATAATAATAATAATAATAATTGTCAATTTATATAGCGCATAATGTAAAATACCTCTATGTGCTTTACAGCATGGTGTGGGAAAAATTATTAAAAGTTTCACCTAAAAAAATAATGAGTAACAATAAAGAATAACAACAATAAAAATAAATATATAATGTTAATTTTTCCCCTTTTCCTAGCATTTAAATTGTTTTTTTTTCCTTGTCTTTTTTCCTCCTTTCCTAGTATTTAAAATGTTATTGTATTACGGTCTACTAGCTAATTCAGTTGTAAAATTTGGCTTTCGTATGAGAGCAGTATTTAGAGAAAATATTAGGCTAAATTAGCCTAACCTTGATATTTCGTCTAGTTCACTGGGAACATAAATAACCTAGGGCCCAGACCTAGGGAAGGACTAGATAAAATAACTATACGATTGACCTACACAGTACAGCAATTATTGTAAGTTGTTTTGGATACAAAGTAATGACCCCTAAAAGACATTATTTCTATAATATTAACCACTCATTAATTACGCTTTTGCTTTTATATCTTTATCAGTAAACAGCGAACCGTTTTCATGTTGGGATCATCCGACAGGCTATTACGTAGATCCTTTGGATTGTACACATTACTACCAATGTCAAACAGAGATGTCTCACTTATCATGTGGCACCCTATACTTTAATGAACAGGTCAACACATGTGACTGGCCTGCTAACGTGGAGTGTACATCGACTCCAGGCGCAGCATTCACTTGCAACGGCAAACCCGAGGGTCTACATTATTACACAGATCCAACAGATTGCACCAAGTATTATACCTGCTATTTGGTTGAAGTTCATTTAACGTGTGGTGCCGGCCAAGCATTCAGTGACGTACTGAAAGTTTGCGACTGGATGCATAATGTTCAGTGTGAGGTCGATGATATAGAACCAACAATAGAAACTACAGTAACAGAAATTGCACCAACTACAGTGGCGCCAGTGGAACCAACTACAGTAGCGACAATGAAAGCAACTACAAGGGGATCAGAGGAAACAACTTCAGTAGTGGCAGTGGAACCATCTACTGTAGCGGCAGTGGAAATAACTACAGTAGTGCCAGTAGAACCAACCACTGTAGCGGCAGTGGAACCAACTACTCTAGTGGTAGTGGAAACACCTACTGTAGCGGCAGTGGAAACAACTACAATAAGAGCAGAGGGAACTACTATAGCAGCAGAAATGGACCAAACTACACTAGATGCAGTGGAATTAACTACAGTAGCGGCAGTGGAACCAACTACTTCAGTGGCAGTGGAACCCACTACAGTAGCGGCAGTGGAAACAACTACAATAAGAGCAGAGGAAACTACTATAGCAGCAGAAATGGACCAAACTACACTAGACGCAGTGGAATTAACGACAATAGCGGCAGTGGAACCAACTACTTCAGTGGCAGTGGAACCCACTACAGTAGCGGCAGTGGAAACAACTACAATAAGAGCAGAGGAAACTACTATAGCAGCAGAAATGGACCAAACTACAATAGATAGAGTGGAATTAACTACAGTAGCGGCAGTGGAACCAACTACTTCAGTGGCAGTGGAACCCACTACAGTAGCGGCAGTGGAAATAACTACAATAGTAGAAGACGAAACAACTACTGTAGTGGCAGTTGATCCAACTACTGTAGCGGCAGTGGAACCAACTACTGTAGCGGCAGTGGAACCAACTACAATAACGGCAGTGGAACCCACTACAGTAGTGGCAGTGGAAACAACTACAATAGTAGAAGACGAAACAACTACTGTAGTGGCAGTGGAACTAACTACAATAGCAGCAGTGGAACCAACTACTGCAGCGGTAGTGGAAACAACTACAGTATCGGCAGTGGAAACAACTACAATAGGAGAAGGGAAAGCAACTACAGTAATGGCAGTAGACCAGGCTACTGTAGCGGCAGTTGAACCAACTACAATAGCCGCAGTGGAACCCGCTACAGTAGCGGCAGTGGAAACAACTACAATAGGAGCAGAAGAAACAACTACAATAGCGGTATTGGACCCAACTACTGTAGCGGCAGTGGAACCAACTACAATAGTGGTAGTTGAACCAACTACAGTAGCCGCAGTCGAAACAACTACAGCTGTGGAAACAACTACAGTAAGGGCAGTTGAACCAACAACTGTAACGGCAGTAGAAACAAATACTATAGTGGAAGTAGAAACAACTGCAATAGGAGCAGAGGAAACTACAGTAGTGGAGGTGGAGCCAACTACAGTAGTGACAGTGGAGCCAACTACTGTAGCGGCATTCGAACCAACTACAGAAGACTACGAAGGTATAAAATTTATATTTAGAATTCTCAATAAAATCGATCAAGTTTTAAATTGTTCTTATCATCTAAAATTTTCTACTTAAATGTTTTAAGATGTTTGTATTATACACTAAATCTACTCCCATTGTATTACTAAAGTAGGCAGGTGGTATTTAACCGGGTATTTTCGTGATGTGGCACACTCCAATCCTACATTAGGATATACAAATTCGAGTTTGCCTGTAAATATGCAGTTTGTTTCAAAGAATTTCAGTATTATCGATGTCATTAAAATTGCCCTACACGTACTTGGGTTAAAATCTGTGTGTAATCAGGCCTACATGTATACTATATGTGGCTGAATTATTAGTTTTTTTTTTCTCAATAATAAAAAAAGATCAAATTATTCAAAAAAAGAAGGAAAAAACACATTCCTTTTTTATTTTCTCATCATGCTGCGAAGAGTTTTCTTGCTGGGACCATTCAGTTGGATATTACGTAGATCCTCGAGACTGTACACGTTATTATCAATGTCAAACAGAGATGTCTCACTTATCCTGTGGCACCCAACACTTCAATGAAGAGATAAAAGCATGTGATTGGCCGTCTAATGTTGAGTGCTCATCAACTCCAGGCGCAACATTCACCTGCAACGATAAACCTGTGGGTCTGCATTATTACGCAGATCCAGCAGACTGCACTAAGTATTATTCTTGCTATTTGGTCGAGGTTCCATTAGAATGCCCTGCTGGTTTTGCATTTAATGAGGTGATTGGGAGCTGCGATTGGATGGATAATGTTCCAGAGTGTACTAACAGTGATATCGACGATGCAGAACCAACCGAAGAAACAAATAATGCATCGGATGAACCCGAACAAGAGACAACACAAACGATTGGGACTAAAGACTATGAAGGTATAAATAAATTGTAAATAAATAAACGACAAAATTTTTTTTTTATTTTGCCTAATATTTAACGTTTATTGCGAAATTTACTTTTGGTTGAAAACCAGAAAAACAAATTGTAGGCCTAATGATAATCATTATAAGATTAAATAGTTATTTCCAAACATTCTCTTCATTATTCACAATTTAAACTTTTCCTGATTATATAGATTCTTCATCGTCATACAAGAGGATATGTTACTACACTAATTGGGCTCAATATCGTTCTGGCAACGAGCAATACACTCCAGACGATATAGACGCGTATATTTGTACACATATTGTTTACGCATTTGCCTTTATGAACGATCAACATGAGCTCATCCCTTTTGAATGGAATGATGAAGACACTGATTGGTCTCAAGGAATGTATTCTAAGGTATATTTCGATTATTATCATACTGCAAATGGTTGTATCGATTCTTTGCCTATTATAGTGATTTAAATTACTGTCCCAAATCTCAATAATATATATTTATATACACTGTAATATTAAAAAAATGAATAAATATATTTTAGGTAAATGCACTGAGGGAAGTAAACAACGATCTGAAGGTTCTGTTGGCCGTGGGAGGCTGGTCGTTTGGTGTTGCTAAGTTTTCAGCTATGGTTTCTACGTCGGCCAATCGTGCACATTTCATTTCGACATCCATAACTTATCTGAGAGACAGAAATTTTGACGGACTTGATTTAGACTGGGAATATCCAGCGGCACGTGGAAGTCCCGCTATTGACAAAGAGCGTTTTACTTTACTTGTACAGGTAATGTAGACCAAAATGTTGATATTTTTTTCAAGATATTTGTAACTAGTATATAATAGACTCTTTGATAACAGTTGCAATTTAATTTTGCCATATAGTACCCTTGATGAGCCCATAAAATTATATGGTATCAATATAAATGCTCAATACTTATAAATAAATAAATATTAAATACAATTATCTAACATAGGCCTAATTGTTAATATTCGATAGGAGCTACGCCAGGCATTTGATGCGGAATACGATGGGAGTAAAGAAAAGTTACTGCTTTCCGCAGCAGTAGCAGCCGGCGAAGACACTGCTACAAATGGGTACGAAATGGCAGAAATAGCAAAGTAAGTCTTTAACTTATGTTTATTTTAGTGTTGGAGGAATTCGAAATTAACACAATTATCAATTGGGGTTTTTTTGTACACTTTTGAACATAAAAGAGAAATTACAATGCATGCAAGAAATCAGTGTAAAATTCAAAGTGAGAATAAATTGAATATTTTTTGTGAGCAAAAATATTTGTTCGTCTTGCAGGCACTTAGATTGGGTAGGAGTGATGTCGTATGATTTACATGGTTCTTGGGAATCGCAGACTGGTCACCATAGCGCCCTGTACGCACCATCAAGTCAAGACCAAACACTGACTGTGGTAGGTTTACAAAATGTTTGTTTGGAAAATACAATTCTAATATTTCGACAAAATTAAAATGAATTTCAGTACCAATTAATCGCATTTACAACATCATTAAATT